GTATTGGTTCTCTTTTTCGTACAAACATGAGTATTACTGGATTTGTTTCTTTGGTCAACTCTGGTTAGGACACACCTGGTAATCAGGAAATACCTCATTAACTACCATATTAACGAGGTGATTGCCCACCGAGGTATGCCTTGTTCAAGTCTGTGCCATCCCATACGTTTTTGCTTTTTTTTTTTTTAAGAGATAAAACAGCTTACCTTTTTAAATATTTTTAAAGACCCCACATGCAGACTCTTGCAACAGTGGATCACAGGTGAACTGCAGGCAGGGAACATGGCTCTGGCTGTGGCCTCCTGGACTTTGTCCAGCAGGCAGGCCGGGTCATCTCCCTTTGAACTAGCTTTCTCCCCAGAGCCACTGCCACCGCCACTTCCGCTGGCCTTGCTGCTTGAGCAGCAGCCGTGGCAGCAAAGCGGAGAATTGGAAGCAGGCTCCCACGTGGTGTTTGTTAATATGGTAGATACACAATGTGCAAATCCCTTATTTGCTTTATTTCATAGAACACAATGTGGACGTTAACTGACACGCACCTATATGGTCACACTGAGAGATTAAAAGAAGTTCAGGGACTGCGGTTGTGAACAAATTTTATAGGAGAGTACTTCGAAAAGTTGGTGGAAGGATGAAATGAAAAAGATGTACATTTTAATGAACTTTTAGAAGCACTCTCATATACATCTATATGTACACACACACACACCTATATAGGAGTACCTAGATGGTGCAAAGGGTTAAACACTTGACGACCAGCCAAAGGTTGACAGCTTGACCTTCTCTGAAAGGAGGCAAGATGTCCTGCTTTTGAGAAGTCACAGCCTTGGAACCCTGATGGAGTCATTCTGCCCTGCACACACAGGTCATCCTGAGTCAGGGTCAACGCATTATCCACTAACAACAAAAACAATGACATCCACACACATGCACACACGATGGGGCTTCAAAAGTTTGTGGGAAAAGTGGAATGAAAAGGTAGTGGGATTTTTCCATGAAGTTTTTGACACCCCCTTGTGTTTGCATCTACACACATATATAAACATGCATATGCTTATACAGGTGTGCATGCACCTAGGTCGAATTTAAAGGTATGGGAATTTTCCCATGAACTTTTGAAGGCCTTGCTTACATTCACAGACATACACATGGGGGTAGACATCCCTATTATCCTCTATCTTATGAACAGTAGCTTCTGGAACCTTGTTTTGGCATTCTCTTTTCAAATGAAGGAAAATCCCCTAAATATGATCTGGGTCTTTCTTGGCCCCGTCAACAATGAAGGGCTCTGACTTGGGGAGAGAGAAGGGATTTTGGAGACACTTCGGCTGGAGGATGATCCTGGAGCATAAATGAGAAGGGGCATTCTTACAGTAGGATGTTGGGGCAAAATCCATTTTGCGATCTGCCTACATTCATCTGAGATCTTCCTACATACGAGGGTGTTACATTTGTATATATGTGAACAGAGAGGCAGAATAACACTGGAGAAATTCCAATGTCTGCTTTAAAATTTTGGCTTTTTCTTCCATGATTTCATCTTATAAATAGAGAAAAACAATTCTGAGTTCACTGGTCACCGGCACACGGTCGATTAGGGAGAAAAACTGAGGGGGAGGGGGGATTCTTATTGAGACATCGTCTCACCACATCATGCAAACAGCAGTCATGGGCTGGTTACTTATTAAATCGTTTTTTTTCCAGTACTTTATTTCTAATTAGAAAAAGTTAAAACATTCACTTTAATACAGGTTAGTGGAAATAAAACAACAAAAATATATAGCAATGGGCTTAATGGAGGGGCCCTGGTGGCATAGGGGTTCTGCATTGGGATGTTAACCCCAAGGTTAGCAGTTTGAAACCACAGGACATTCCTTGGGAGAAAGTTGAGGTTTTCTACTCCTGTAAAGAGTTACAGTCCCCTCCATAGACAGCTACAGTGGACAGCACTGAAGGTACAGTTCATGGAGCGTGGCCTGTCTGACCCACCACATGGGGACAAACCCAGATGGGAAGACAACAGCCCAGCAATGGGGACAAAGTCACGAAGTCCCTGAGGAATACTTCTGACTCGGGGGTGGGGTGGGGGCGGCAGCGCTTGGCACCTCATCTGAACTGGCTGGAGGAGATTCACGAGGGGCCACCCTGAAAGCCTAAAGGTGCAATGTGGTGGGGGGCGGGGCATGATAACACTCCACCCGACTGCAGGAAGAGCAATGTGGGCTTTTGAAGGCGCGCCCCCTCGGGCACAAAGGTTGGGGAGTCAAAGGGTGCAAGTGCAGTCAGGTAAGCAGGTCAGGGGATTATTGGACTGATGGATTATATCAGGGCCTGCTCTATACTTAACAGAGGGATACTCAGCTACTCTGGGTCAGGCCACAGTTAGACTTGGAACTATTTGTGTGGTCTCTCTCTCTTTTTTCCCTTTTGGTGTCTACCTATATAAGATAGGTTGGATAAGCAATCCCAAGGAGACAGCAATGGGACTGATGGTTCAGGGGGGCATGGAAGCAGAGGGGAGTGAAGGGGAGCAATGAGCCAATACCTACAGGGACAGGAGAATAGCAAGGGATCTAAAATTGATGGTGAGGAGGGTGTAGTGTCGATTGTGTTTGGTTAATTGAAATGTATCTGAGAGAAATTACTGAGAGGTGAACGATGGGTAAACACAATAGTGGGGCAGGAGGGAAGAAAAAAGAAAATGAGAAATGAACAAGAAAGTAAAAATTATGTATATAAGTAAAATATAGCTAGGTATATAAGTAAAGATATAAAGTGCATTTGTCTATGTGTGTGTATATGTATATATGTACACACACACAGAAGGAAGCAGATGGACTTTGGGCTCTATTAAATCTTACCTCAGTATAAGAATGGTTTGTTCTAATAATGTGGCAAGTATGACATTCACTGTCCTGACATGATTGCTGAAGACAAAATGGGTACATACGCAAAAGAGGTCAAGAAAGCTGATGGTGCCTATCTATCAAAAGATATAGCGTCTGGGGTCTTAAAGGCTTAAAGTGAAACAAGCAGCCCTCTAGCAGGGAAGCAACAAAGCCCACATGGAAGAAGCACACCAGCCTGTGAGATCATGAGGTGTCGATGGGAATAGGTATCAGAAATTCAAAAACAAGTGATCACCTTGACATGAGTGTAGACAAAGTGGAGACCCAAAACCCACCCGACAGTCCCTCACGCAAAGGCCACATGAAAGGGATGATATGTCAAGGGTGCAGTACAGCACTGATGAAACACGTACCTCTCCTCTGGTTCTTTACTATTTCCTCCCCTAACTATTATGGTCTTAATTTTACCTCATTAATCTTGTTAGAGCTGCATATGTTCATTTGCATAGTTAATATTGTTTGATGCATGCACTCCAAGATATATAAACCCTTCAGAAATAGTAATGGGAGTAATGATTCCCTGAGGAAACACACAGGAATATGGGGGTGGGTGGGGAGGGGGAACCGATAGCAACGATGACTGTATAGCCCCACTTGAGGGGAGCGGATAACAGAACTGTAGGTGAGTGGATACACTGGATGGTGTAAGACATGGCAAATTATATATATATATATATATATAATTATATACATCATATACACTATAATAATAAGGGTTCCTGGAGGGGAGGGTGGAGGAGGGAAGGGATAAAGGGGAGCCCATATCAAAAAGTCAAGAAGAAGGAAGTTGTTTTGAAACCGATGGTAGCAGCAATTTTACAATTATGCTTGATCTACTTGAATTATTGATTTTTATAATATCTGCAAGAGCTCCCAATGAAATGATTAAATTAAAAAAAAAAAGAGTTAGTTTCAGATCCCCACAGGGGGCAAGTTCTACCCTGCCCTGTAGGGTTGCCAGGAGTCAGAATCGACTCCGTGGTAGTGAATTTGCCTTTTGGTTGGGCTTAATGGAGAGACCCAAGTATTTTTTCCTAAAACGGAAATAATTGTTCTTTCCTGGTTCATTACTAAAATTGGAAATACTTCAATAAAGATAAAAGGATATAGCGTAGCATGTCTCTGAGAGAAAATCGATAATTAAAAAACTTGTAAATATAGAAAAGTCTTATTTTTTGCTACATTGCTATGAACTCCCACTCCAACTCACTGCCATGGAGTTGGTTCTGACCCACCGCGATCTGGTAGAGCGGGTCAAACTACCCCCAGGGGTTCGGAGCCGGCAACTCTTTAGAGGAGTAGAAAGCATCATCTTTCTCTTGAGAAGCGACTGGTGGCTTTGAACTCATGGCTTGTGGTTAGCAGCTCACTGCTGTGAGCTGGAATCAACCAGTTGGCAGTGAGTTTGGCTTGTTTTTGGTGCTGGAGTTGGCAAGTGTTCTTCGTAGTTTGACCTGTTTCATCAGTTAGAACTTTATTTTTGTTTTCACAGATGTTGGCTGGTGGACTTCGACTCAGTATGACATATATTTACTCACGTATATTCACCTTTCCCGAGCCTCTGGTTTATGGGAGCGCAAGCACTCAAAGGACTGTCTAATTATTCTGTTTCCCTAGTGGGAAACACGGCCCTGCTGTATAATAAGTGATCCGTCAAGGATCTCTGTGTTGAATTTGTGATTGCAAGCATCATCAAGGCAGACCCCAAAGGACTCTTGGATACGAGCCCCTTGTTCATGTGTCCAGTTTACCTCTATCACTGTGTACAGTCAACCTTCTCCTTCCAGAGATTGTCCTAGGCAACAAGCAAAGTTTGCAAACCACCCACGTGATTGGGCCAAATGTCTGAGAGTGTTACATCAGAGGTCAATGTGTCCTGGAGCACTGGGCAGCTAAGTCGGATGCCACTGAGAGCTTCAAGCGTGAATGCAGACCTGAGGGGAGCAAGGAGGACACTTTCCCAAGGGATCAGCTTTGTATTCATCCTGGGTGGATTCTGTGAAAGCTTGCTTCTAGTAAAGGGACTGATTTGTCGACCACCCAATGTTACAAGTGTGAGCTTGTTTAGGTTGCTAAATGATGTTACTATACCTGTGCACTTAGGGTTTCCAGTGGGCTTTCTATCCTCGGGAAAGCCATTAGGGGCACTCCACGGGGATCCTCAGATTTGGCTTTGGAAGAAGATCCTTGCGTTCCTTTAAAGTTATGGACCACACACATTCCCTGCAGGATGAGGGGAAAGAGAGATTGGCGTCAGACTGCAGCCAGCACCACCTAGCCATTTCTGATGGCAGGACTTGCCCAGTAAATACTGTTGCCATAGTGATTTTGGTTTTTTTGTGGCTTTTGTGTGGGTAGGGAATATCTTGGGCATAATATAGGGTGTCTTCGAGGAACATTCTAACTATGTTTGGGGGTGGGGGTGTTGGTAGACATCTATGGAATTGCCAGACAGTTGGAGATAATCAGTGCACCTATAAAGTAGGAAGAGTAATAGCTTGTAACACTTAAACACCATGCATATCAACTGCCTGAGCTCTGGTGATGCAGTGGACTGTGCATGGAGCTAAGCACAGTATCAGTGGTTTGAACCCACCAGCTGCTCTGAGGGAAAAAGATGAGGTTTTCTATTCTTGTAAAGAATTACAGTCTTGGAAACGTCTGCTTTGTCCTAGAGGGCTGCTGTCAGTTGGAAGCAAGTTTTGAGTAGCTATTTATTTATCTTATGGTTACTGTGCATTTGGCGCTGTGCTGAATTAACCCACCCAGCCATCTGACAAGGGCGCTACTCCAGCTTAGATGAGGAGGACCAGAGAGCCAAGATAACCTGCCCAAGGAGCTCCAGAGATTTGCGCACGAGAGCCCCCAGCTCTGACACTGCCATTTGCCACTGAACGAGAGCCACACACATAGGGAGTAATCCATCCAGGTTAGCTACCTGACAACCCCGACTGGAAATGTTCATGCTCCTGGGTTATCAGCAGGTAGCTGCTTTGTCAGACTCAAAAACGCCTCGGTGGCAGCTCTCTTCTAGTGTCTCCATTTCAGAACTCCCCCATCACTAGCTCCTTAATGTCCTTTGGAGGCCCCCCAGCAGAGATGACCATTTGCAAGACCTTCTCTGCAGGCTTTGCCTATGCAGAGTTTATCCGCCCCTTTCCACACTCTCCCACTTGCTTCCACATCCTCGTGTCTACTGCCTCTGTCACATCTTTGAGCCAACATTTTCCCAGATACATTTTTCCTGTCACCTAGCAGCACATTTAAGCAAAAAGCAGTGTTTGGCTCTGCCTAAGCCTCCTTCGTATAGGAAATGGACAAAGTGGAAAGTATAGGAACTCGGGAAATGGAGAGAGCCAGGCAGACCCATGACCAACTGGTTGAGTGGCCATTGAGCAAGTGCCTCTTGAGCCTTCTTTTCTCTAGCTGTTAGAGGAGGGTAAGAATGGAATGGGGATGCAACAAATGTACAAATGTGCTTGACACAATGGATGGATGGATGGATGAATGGATGGATGGATGGATGGATGGATGGATGGATTGTGGTAAGGGTTGTACCAGCCTCCAAAAAAATGATTTTTAAGAATGTTACTAAAAATAAGACGGGAGGTGGGAGGATGTAGTAGAATGGATTGTGGTGATGTATATACAACTGTTTTAAAATACAAGTGAGCTATGGAAGTAGATGATGTGTGAATTATGTCTCACAACTATTGAAACAAAAGAATGTTGCCCAAGTTGTCCGCGAAACTCATGATTTGATACACACATGAAGCATAGGGTGTATGGTAATTGTTCAGCAAACAATTCCTTGTGCTTTCCCTTGCCTTCATCTTCATCGTACGCACACAGGTAAAACAATGAACACAAGTAAGACAACTACTCTTCGCTCTCACACGTTGGTCTTCTCTCTTCTGCTGTCTCCTCTCCACGTGTCTGCTCTGGAACCTCCAGTGTTTTCCACGATACCCTTCCCTCAAGTCTTCCTTCCTCACGGGGAGCGGGCATGTAGATGTGGGATGTCCACATGCACATGCACGTGAAAGTCCACTCTAAGATGACATAACCAGTTTCTCAATGGAGGGATTCAACTGCTCTGACCTTGATAGAAATGCCATTGTAGAAAACACAATTTGACCTCAATGGGGAAATCACATAAAGGAGGCAAAAACAGACCAACTAGTACGTCATTGGGTTCAATAAACACACAAATCCAAAGGTTACCCTAGCACGAGGATCTCATTTCGAAACCTTTCTCCTCTGTTGAAATCACCTGTACTTGTTCCCGCTACTGAAAAGCATTTTGGGGGAGACTGTTAACACCTCCAGGCCATTTGGGCACCACCTTTCCTGCAACTTGACTTAGAGAATCTGCATTTATGCCTTTCATCTTTCACTGGGTCCTAAAGAGATGCAATCTTCAGTCACTGTAAGGATTGTAAATCATATAATCCGAACTTGAAGGAAGAGTGCCAGAGCGTACATCGTGAGGTTCTGGTTTGCAGAAGGCGATGGATGACAGTGGGAGCCCAAGAGACATTTGTGGGATCTCCATGGGAAATAGCCTCCGGTGATTTCTCTCTGTCCATCATAGAGGGATGGGAGGGAAGCGGGCACTAAGCAGAGGGCATTGGAGAGACGACTACAGAAGATCAAAAGGACAAACCTGCCTGGAACGGGTCCAACCTCGTCAGTCGAGCCCCCTCCGATGCACATTAGACCTGATCTGGTTTTCCACATTTTCAGATTTGTTGTGGTTTTGATGATTCATATTGGGGTTTATTCCAGATGTGTTATGTCATGGGGGGGTTTTTGAGTTTTTGTTGCATGTTTTTCTGTTCTTCAGTATGTGAACCCATGAACCCATAGGAACAGCGAATACAGTCAGGTTCCTGGGGGGGGTGGGGGTGGTACAGTAGTGGTGGTGGTGGAGTCGGTAAAGGGAACTGATATCAAGGAGTTCAGGAAGGAAAAGAATGGTTTGAAACCAATTGTGGTAGCAATTGAACAATACTGCTTGATGTGACTGAACTATGGAATGATACAATATCTGTATTAACTCCCAATAAAATGGTTTTGGGACAAAAAAAAGAAAGAAAGAAACAGGATAATTTTCTCCTGTTTGGAAATGATCCTAATGGAATCCCACACACCGATGAAAAGGAATGAGCTATTAACACATGCTACAGAATGGAAGAATCTCAAAATAATGAAGCTGGGTGTGAGAGACAAGGGGGAAATTAGGTAATACTACAGATACATTTATCTCAAATTATAGAAACAGCAAATCGTGACAAGTGATCATGGAGCTGTGTGGGTCAGGGAAGGCCTGCAGGCGCGCAATGGAAGGGCTCACTCTCTGGGTTGTGATGAGGGTGCGTGGGCAGACTTTTTTTCTTTTCTATAAATCCTATTTTATTGGGATTTATAGAATTTATTGGGATTTATAAATCCCATTTTATCTTACAATTCTTGTAACAATCCATACATCAGTTGTATCAAGCACATTTGTATGTATGTTGCCATCATCCTTTTCAAAACATTTTCTTTCTCCTTGAGTCTTTGGTATCAGATCCTCTCCACCCCCCACCCCCCTGCCAGTGAACCCTTAACAAATTATTATTATTTTCATGTCTTACACCATCTATCCTCTCCCTTCACCCATGTTTCTGTTGTTCATCCCCCGGGGGAGGGGGGAGTGTTATAGGTTGGTCATTGCAGTCGTTTCCCCCTCTCTCTCCCCCCACCTTCCCCTTCCCCCTTGTTATCGCTACTCCCATTCCTGTTCCTGAGGGCTTTATCCGTCCTGGATTCAATGTGTCGAAAGTGCTTCTCTGTACCAGCGTACATGCGCTGGTCTAGCCAGATTTGTAAGGCGGAACTGGGGTCATGATAGTGGGGGAGTGGGTGGGGGGAGGAAACAGTAAAGAACTAGAACAGCGGTTCTCAACCTGTGGGTTGTGACCCCTTTGGGAGTCAAATGACCCTTTCACAGGGGTCACCCAATTCATTACAATAGCAAAATTACAGTGATGAAGTAGCAATGAAAATAATTTTATGGTTGGGGTGTCACCACAACACGAGGAACTGTATTAAAGGGTCATGGCATTAGGAACATTGAGAACCACTGAACTAGAGGAATGCTTGCGTTTTGTCGGTGCTATACTGCACCCTGGTTGACTCGTCCCTTCCTTGTGACCCTTCTGTGAGGGGATGTCCAATTGTCTACAGATGGGCTTTGGGTCTGCACTCTAGCCTCCCTCATCGCACTGATATAATTGTTTGTTTCCGGTCTTTTGATGCTTGATACTGTCAATACCTCGTCGTCACACAGGTTAGTGTGCTTCTTCCATGTGGGCTTTGCTGCTTCACTGTTAGATGGCCATTTTTTTTAAACTTCAAGCCTTTAAGACCCCAGATGCTATATCTTGTAATAGCCAGGCACCATCTGCTTTCTTCACCACATTTATTTATGCACCCATTTTGTCTTCAGTGATTTTGTCTTCATCTTCGGGAAGGTGAGCTTCACAGAATGCCAGGTTATTAGAACAAAGTATTCTTGCATTGAGGGAGGACTTGGGTAGAGGCTGTCATAGGTGTATTCATGTCAATATTTATCTACTGTCTGCTTTACATGCCATTTATTGTATGCTTATTATTCTGTAATAAAGTTATATATTTTTTAAAAGCAAACCTTGTTTTATAATCCAGCACAGATCAAGAGATTTATGACCACACCCCCAGCCCCATTTATTAGACTGAATTGTAAGGCTATGGAAAAACTATCAATGAAGACTCTTGCCCAGGAAGATGACTAAATATAGTTGAGAAGGCACTTGTGGCTAAGATAAGACCCATAGGCACATCTCGATAGTGACTGGCCTTCTAAGGAGTGTGGGGGTGGTTAGCTACATGCTTTAATTTGTTTGTTTGTTTTTCTTAATGGGATATGCAAATCTGTGGTCAGAGCTGAATTTCTCCAGAGCTTGGAAAACAGGCTCCATGCATCTGCCAGGGCTCTTTCTGGTCTTCTCGCAAACTGAGGCCAGGCCACACTCCAAGTACTTGTAGCATAGTTAGAGAACACTGGTTTTCAGGTTCACCAAACACTCGTTTCCCAAGTGTTGAAGGAAGCGGAGCAAGCTGTCCTTCCGGAGTAATCCTTTCCCTGACCGCCAGAGGGGGTTGCGATCCTATTTCCGATAGAAACGGTGCTTCAGAGATCACTCTTGCAGGAGCATTTGCATTCATCTTCGGACAATATTTGCAATTCACAAGTTTGGGACAAGAACAATGTGGATTTAGACAAAAACAAAACAAAACAAAATGCAACCAGCAAAACCCATCAAACCAAACACTTACTGATAATGAGCCTATCGGGGCGCATAGCAATCCTATAGGACAGGGCAGACCTGCCTTGGTGGGTTTTTGAAGCTGTAAATCTTTATGGGACCAAAAGTATCTGTCTCCCAGGGAGCAGTGGTGGTTTTGAACGGCTGGCCCTGTGATTACACACACCTCCCACCAAATGCATAATCCATTACACCACTAAGCTTCCTAGACTCCAAAAAGAAGTCTGGAAACTGACTTGCATGGCCGTCTCATGACCTTAGGTAGCCTTCCAGAGGGCACTATGGGCAAGAGGTAGAAAGAGGGGACAGGGAACATACCAGGAACAGGGCCACAGCGGTGCCCAGTATGAAGCCTGCGATCACGTCGGAGCAGTGGTTCCGATATTCAGAAACCCGGTTGAGGCCTGCAAGGAAGGCTGTGCAGAGGGTCCCGAGGCACAGCACGGGCTTGGCCAGTCGACTGCTCTTCGTCTTGATTGTGCTTGTGATGTACATCTGGAATGAGACAGAAGCTGGGAATGAGCAGGCAGCCTCCCAGAGCGCTGCGCACACAGACACCAGGCCCACCCAAACAGCCACACCGGCTGGTTTTCCTGGACCACCTCTGCTGAACTTCGTAGAAACATAGGGGAGGAAATCAGTGCAGTCAGAGCAATGAACAGGCATGTCACTCAATGTCTTTGTCTTTCAATGGGCACATGGACAGAGGGCAGGGGGAATGGCTATGTGCAGATGAAGAGCATGATATCTTTATGTCACAACTTCAAGAATCACTGGGGTGTTACAACCGCCAGACCAGATTTCTCACATTCCAATTAAACCTTCTAGGAGAATGGATCTGGTAGTGAACCACAGGCAGGTGAGCAACCACGCAGTTCAGTTTGTGTGTTGTGCAGATGCCGCGCAGAGTTTCCACTCTTAAAACCCTCCACTGTCAAGTTGATGCTGACTCATGGCAACCAGTCAATCCATTCCAAAGTGGACTGAGTGGATTGACTGACACAGAACCTTCCAGCCAGCATACCAAACACTTCAGAGTGTTAGGCTTCTACTGTTTACCAATAGGTAAAAATAGGTTGGGAAGACTTGAACTGATAAAAGAATGGGGCAAATTTTGACACCTGGGACTTCAGCTGTTCTTTCATTCTCCCAAATTTCACTGCCTATATTATAAAATGTATCCATGGTGCCCTAGAATTAGGAAGATGTGCATGGTGATGGATCCACACAAACACACACCACTAGAGGGCGTGGCTGAACCAGCAAACCTTCACATGTGTGCAGTTTAGAACCCTGGGATATGTTAATCCTTACAATTAAAGTCAATGGCAGAGTGTGTGCATGGCATGAGCACATAAATATGCAAATAGATAAACATGACAATATGCAATGGAGATGATTATTTCCACAGCGTGATGCTGTCACATTGGTGTGAGTCTAAGCATGCAACGAGAGGGTTCTCCTTGAACAGATAGCTGCCCTATAAAAACTGTGGTTAGCTCAAAGCTACACAAGTTCCAGCATATCAGATACAGGTCGGAAATATTGAAAATTATTAAAAGTCTTTATATTTAACATTACTATTTTATGCTCCTCTATTGTCTTCGACAGAGTCCTGGTGATGTAGTGGTTTAGAAGTTGGAAGCTAACAGCAAGGCCCACAATTTGGATCTCCCAGTTGCTCGGTAGGAAAAAGATGAGGCTTTCGCTCCCTTAGAGAATTAATCTTTCTTCTGTGTCCTGTAGGGCTGCTATGAATCAGAATCTACTCGACAGTAATGGTTTATGTTGTTTTCTAATCATAAACTTTTAAGACTTTTCAACAAGATTGCAACCCATCATTAAGGTCACACGTCTTTGGTTAGTATTCCTCAAAGGATCAACTAACACTGAGGAAAGACTTGAAGTGTTTAAGGTGCAATAGAGCAGCAGTTCTCAACCTGCGGGTCGCGACCCCTTTGGGGATTGAACGACCCTTTCACAGGGGTCATCTGATTCATCACAGTAGCAAAATGACAGTGATGAAGTAGCAACGGAAATAATTGGATGGTTGGGAGTCACCACCACATGAGGAACTGTGTGCAATGGTCACCGTACTCGGAAGGCTGAGGACCACTGCTCTAAAGGTTCAGAAAATCTAACATTGGAATCCTGTTATCAAGGTTTGTCCAATTCTGTGTTCTGTTTGGTGAAAATCTGAAGTGGATTTTATTTGCATCTTTGAAACCATGTAATAGAAAAGAATCTACTGCGTGAATGGACTGTAATGGACTTCCCCCTAAGAGTTTATGGCTTGATTTGGTAAGACAGTAATCTATTATGAATAACATTTATTTTTACAGTGGTGCTCTATACATTAATTCCATGCCACAGTGACTTGATTTTGATAAACATGAAAAGATTCTGTATACAATTTAGGTTCCAGATAATTCAAGATAAATGAATATTAAATATTAGAAATATGCTGTAGGCCTCAGTGAGCTGTCTTTGTTTAAAGAATAAATAGCTGGCATAGATTTTCAGGAGGGGGTGGGGGAATAGAATTCTGACCAAGCACCAGTTGGCCTCCTTTTAAATGGAGGCATATTAAAAATTGTTTGTGTCCACATGTTTCCATCACACGGGCAGATGGAATCATTGCCGTCGCACATCCACTGAAGAGCAGATCTACAAGGACTAACTAGGATGACTGATAGTGGATCGTTGGTGGTTGACAAATTGATCTTATGGATGAGATTCGGTCAATGGAACACAGAGGCCCCGTTGCTCCCAGGGTTTCTTAGAGGACATTCAACCCAGAGTTTGAAGATCTACTAAATAGACCCGCTTGTAGCCGCATCCCTGCTCTCCCTGACTATGTGAGAGCTGCAGAAAGTTCATGGGGAAAGTCCCACAATACTTCAACTCCATTTTCCCTCGGACTTTTGGAAACCTCTCTCACGTACTCAGGGGTCTTGCTTCAGATGCGGGACGCGATGCCTGCTGGTACTCTCAGGGGAGGTAGGGCACACATGGTCACGCTCCGGACCTCCTGAAGAACGGACAGTTTGAGGGGGGCCTTGCCTGTGCCCTCTCCCTCCCCGACTTTCATTGGGAATCATTAATCCTATCCTGAATATCAAATGCGTTCGAGTCAGAAGAGGAGGCATTTTGACCAGCAGTCGTTACTGTGCAGCTAAAGGCACATTAACAACGCACTTAATTGTGGAGCTCTTCGGCTCTTCTAAGCTTCTGCGGCCTGGGATCTGAGGAGGCACACGTAGATTAGAGAAAGGCAAGAGGAGGCCCTTCCCAAAAGAGATGCAACCGAAGAGCAGGGAAGTCAGAAGGCACATAGTTTTCATCATGTATTTTAAGATGAGACACGGTGTGGGCTGGCTCTGGGACAGGCGCCAACCGTGCCAGTAGAGGGTGGTGCCCGTGGGCAGAGCAGACGCTCTGAGCAACGTGCTTGGAACGAGAGGACCGCTGTCTGAGCGGGCAAAGGCTGGGTGACTTGAAAAGCAGGAGGACGTGGGTTGGGGGCACCTGAGGTCACTCATCTTCGCTGGCAAAGCGATGGAGAAGAAAGGTGGGCCTGCATCCAGGGTCTGCCAGGCTGCTGGGGCAGGGCTCCATCAACACACTTGCGAGGAATGCAGGCTGTTCTGAAGCCAACCCACACTTCTCCAAAGGGCCGTGCTGACCGTGCGGAGAGAACTCTAGGTATGGGGCCAGGCGCTTGGACGCCACCTCTGACTGTGCGGCCTTTACTGTTCTCTGGAACCCAGTTTTGGAGCCTTGGCTAGAGTGATTATAAAAATCTTGTGATAAGAGTTGCACGAACCCCCAATAAAATGATTTAAAAAGAATCTCTCCAGAACAAACATCCTGATAAGAAAGGGTGCTGTAAGGGGACACTGGGGAGATAGGCAACAGCACGATAGCACACAAGAGACACCGGCTTTAATCAGATCACCCTCCACAGTGGTGTGGCGAGGTAACGATGGGTGGGGCAGGGAGAACCATGCTCCGAGGACACACCAGCTTGGAGAAAGACACTCACCGTGGCGTATAAGGCAGAGTAGATGCTCAGAGCAGCGTGTTTGGACGGAAAGGACCTCCGAGCCTTCTCGATCACATCCAGGTCCCCAGTACAAATGTTGCCCTTGTTGACAAACTGGTGGTGCGCCCGGCAGTCTGCGCTGGTGTAGTTCGGCTTGCACACGGTCAGGAAGTACGGCGTTAGGTGCCCAGTGACCACTTGCCCGGCGTTGACAAAAATGTCAGTAGCAAAAAGTCCAAACGCAAAGACCCCTGGAAGGAGAAACGAACACGGTTTAGGGACGGAGACAGACACTGTGGATTGGTTTGTGCCCGAGAGGAAATGGTTTAGAAGAAGCAGGTAAGGCAGCCAGGATTTCTCCCCCAGGAAGACTTCCTCTCCCCTAGATTATCTGCAAGCAGAACAAGGGGTGAGCCTGCCTAAAGTATCAAAAAAGATCCAGAGTCGTGTCCCCAGTGATTTGTGCCCTCATTTTATTTGAATGAGGCGTACCTGCTTCCCCCGCCTTTTTCTTTCAAACGGATGCAGAAATCCTACTACTAGCGCATCACCATTCAGCAGAAGGAAATTAGAAGCAGCTTGGTTTAATGTAAATAATCCGAGTTGGGGAGTCATGTGGACCCATGATCTAGTCCCCAGCTGGAGACTCACTTGAAGTTTCAGTTCGTTACCATCTCTGCTCCTTGGTACCTTCAGCTGTAAAGTGCAGTGGGTTGGAGGGAGAAGGAGGATCGTTCAGAGAGGCTGGGGGATGAGATTAAGAGACCTATTTTAGTAGTTGCTCAACGTTGGCTCTCCTTCATTCCAGAGGAAATACCTACATTCTCTGGTCCTTTCTGGAAATGCAAATACTTCAAGAAGAAGTTATGAACAGCATCATGGCAGGGGAGAGTAAACGATGTTTTTAGGCAGCTGTCTCTAAGAGAGACGCAAAACCAAACCATGTTTGAAACCCTGATTCAATCTGATATTGGAACAGGAGAGAGGAAAGACGATACGGGCAAACGTTGACTATATACACAGTTGCCTATTGCTGCTGGACGGAATGATCACCAGTGTGGGCTTTAAACAGCCCCGTTGTCTCCTCTGAACATTTCTGGAGGTCAAAAGTCCCTCATAGGTTTCAAGTTTATGCTCTAAGGACATTTACAGGGCTGCCTTCCATTGGGAGGCAGCAGGGGAGAACCTAGTGTTTCCAGCTTCTCAAAGCTGCCCTCATTCTTATGGACTCCTTCCCTTAGGGGTACTGCTCTGGCCTCTGGTTCCCTGGTCCCATCCCCTGCCGGACTCCTTTTTATAAGAACCTTGATGATTACACTGGGTGCCCCTGGATAATCCAGGCTAATCCACACCCCCTTCCCAAGATCCTTCAAGGAACCTGAAAAGTCCTCTTTCTTATGTGAAGTTCTGAGGATCCGTGTGTGGATGCTGTTTTCAGGGACCCTTACTCTGTTTACCACAGTGACTGCCATGGGGCTGGGTGGCCTGTGAGTAGCCTTTATTTCCTGGTTATTAGCTATTCTCGAGCGAGTTCCTTAGACAATTGCCTCAACAAGTTTGATCGTGGATGAAGAGATTTCTTACAGGGTGCTTTACTGTGCTGCTACCCAAAGGCTGTCCGTCCATCCACGGATGATCTGTGATACAGGTGACGAGAGAGGCTGTGCAGAGCCAAGCGCTAAGGGTTTCCACACAAAGCCCTTCCCCGTGAGCATCTCGATTATGGGAGCGGGAGGGGAAACCCAGGCTTCCAACACTGAGAAGTGGTATTTCCAGCCCACGTCTCATGCATACAAAGAAATCACGCGAGAAACTATAAGAATCACAGGGGGGCGGGGCGGGGGGGCGGTGGAGCAGTCCCGTTAAAATGTAGAGTCTGATTCAGTAAACCTGGGGTGGAAAGGCAACTTCTCACAGGGGGGTCAAACTAACAGACCCAACCAGTTCTTCAAAGCCCGGACAGCAATCCTGGTAGATGCCCAGGGTCTGCCACAGCTTCGACTACCTTTCTATCTCTATTTGGTCCCCATATTCAAAGGTCTTGGTGGCAGAGTGGTTATGAGTTGGGCTGCAATCCACAAGGTGAGCACTTTAAGCCCAGAAGCTGCTCCTCAGGGGAAAGATGGGGCATCCTACTCCCGAAAAGAGTTAGTCTCAGAACTCACAGGGGAGGTTCTGCCCTGTGCTATAAGGTTGCTGCTATGAGTTGGCTTCAACCTGATGGCAGTGAGTTGGAAAAATTTTTTTTAATTCAGTGTCCTGAAGCTATAAACTGTGCTGATTTCAGCACCCGGACGTTAAATCATGACACAGAAGGAGAGAAGGCACGTTTGGCAGAGACCTTCATCCGGCTTTTATTTTGATTTCTATCGATCACTATAATTTTTTTTGTTTGTAGTGTAGCCAGAATGTGTTTCATCTCAACAATCCGGCTCCTTTAATAGCGTCAGCAGGGTCCCACTCAAGAGTCTCTGACCTCGGAGAGCAGGCATTGATCATCCGGGCACTTCACACCTCACACCTCCTGGTGCTGGGAGTCTGAATTGGCTGGAAATCTTTTCACATGTTCTAGCAAGGTCCTCAAAGGCCAGGTCTCTGGCTTTTGCTAGAGGCAGTAATTCTGCCCGGTCCAACTTTTTCAGGAAAGGAGGGTAATTTATGGTTTGAAAAGGGAACCTTGGCAGCCTTTTCCCTCTGGCGTTTCATTGGTCAGAAGTGCTTCCAATTAGGATGGGCTTGTCCTTTCTGAGGAGGAGGCTCTCTGAGTCTGAGCGGCTTGGCTCCATGGGAGAGGCCAGCCATGTGCTCACGACCCTTCTGGGGCGGTCAGCTCTCCCGGGGCTGCGACACTGGTGCTGGAAGTGGCTTTCCCTCCTCCTCCTCCTCCCTCTGCCTGCCCTGGAGCAGAGCTGCTGCTTCTGCTGGTTTCAGGAGCAGCCGCTTTCCCAACACTCCTTCCACTGCGTTGACTCTCCCTTCTGCAGGGCACTGCGGGGCTGAGGGCTGGCCTTGCTGGGCGCAGGCCACACCAACCAAAGGTCCGAGCGCCGGCAGGAGCCCTTCACAGCCAGCACCAGTGCCTACACGGCTTTTGTAAGGAAACTGGAGTCACCCCTCTGTCACTTAACCCAGGAGCCCCTGGTGTGCATTAAAAAGACATTTCTCCTTCAAGCCTCAGGGGCTAAAACTAGCACAGCCACGTTTGTCCTCAGAATCAGGAGCAGCAGCAGGATGGTCTCTGGCGGTGTGAGGCGGCCCTTGAAGGAGGCGTTCTGTTCAACATGGCTGCCTGGAGTGTCAGGTCTGAATTCCCTCAGTCAGATGGTCTGTGGTGACAGTTTCACAGATGCGTGTTGCATTCGGGGCGCCCTGGGCTCTCTTGGACATTTCTGAATGGATTTATGGAAGACGGAGTCTTCTGAGGCACCTGCACTATGCACACGAGAATTGCAAAGACAGCTTGGATAGGAAGAGCTAGGCCAGCCCCCCCGCCTGGAGGACTAGAGCCCCTGGGCTTCTCAAGTCCAGCGTAAGGAGGGAGGAGGATGCAGATGGTGTGATGTTGCTCTGGCCACCTTCTCCTTCCCAGAGGAGGAGGTAGAGCTCGGCTTGGTCAGGTGGAAGAAGTGAAGAAACACTTCCATGCACCGTGTCTGATATAAAAACAAACCAAGCGAAAAACACCTCCCACGACTGGGAACTAGAACTTTCTAGAATGATTTTTTTGGAAATCCCCTGGAAGAGTGCCCTGTGCCTTTCACAGTGTAGCTCAGGAAACGTGCAAGCCACTTAGAGCATGTTCACATCCAAGATGGCACCAGAGCAACAGGGGCTCGGCATCAGTCATGGCCAATGGGAGGATCGCGTTGAATCCAAGGACCAGCTGCCAGGACTCATACATTGGATTGTGGCATCCTATGAGGCAGCCGGAGGTGAAGCCTCGGCTCTCTGAAGGGTGAGAAGTACTGGAATTAGAAGAGACCTGGAGCCAGGAGAAAGAGATTGGCATCTACTGACCATGCCCATGGTTCATGGCCATCCCATGGAAACCTGACTCCGCCTATTCTTCGTGGCCCTACAAGAACTAATCGACACTTGCCAGGCAAGTTAAAGGGGGATAAAATGTCCCTAATGTTTTTTCAGCATTTGTAAGAGAGATCTATATCATCTAATCTCTACATGGGACATCTTTGGATTAAGATCTTTGATTATTAGTAATTTAGAACACAGAGGTGGAGCGGTGTGCTTTGGTCCCTGCTACTGAATCAATACAGCTCCAGCCCTTTTTCCTGAACAAGAATGTGGCAAGAGATGCACCGATATATTCAGAAAGTCCAGCGAGAGTGTCTTTGAAGCCACAGGTAATCAGCTGAAGGTCTACTGACTAATGAGAATCGGGCTCATCCCAGGATACGGGATTAGTAGCTACCCAGACAGGGAACTAGTGAAAACCCACAACGAACCAGCTCTTTGCTGTGGGGGATGCTGTTGCTTTCTACAAGGAGACTTCCATTAAGAGACTCAGACCCAGCTAGTAGAAGACTAATTTGCAGAAGCTGTTGGGTGGGCAAGGGAGGGACTGAATTCTTTCTAACCTCAAAGAACCCATGACCTTGGCAGGCGCCCTGGAACTGAAGGCCAAATGTTCTGTGTTGTTATAAATGTATAATGCCCAGCTGAACATGGCATCTTGCTAACCACTTCTGATAGATCATTGCTCATTGGCTCCCTAAAATATACACGATAACAGTGAACAAGATGGATACTCAGGATAGAGAAACTAGTACTGATGCCAATTCAAAGGGAGAATCACTGTGGGGTTTCCACTATCAATAAGATGTGTATTGTAGTAGATTTCTCTCTTACACACACACACACACACACACACACACACACACACACACACACACACACACACACACATTTTCTTCCTTGGACAACTCAAGTTCAGAGGACGGAGATTACCTAGAGAGAGTTCCTTTCTCCCCTTGTCTGGTCACCCTCTCAAGGATCCAGGATTTTGAATGCTCTGAAAATTAGGCTGCTATCTCTCCATTGGACTGATTTTATTTGTGAAGATTTCCAAGGACGGTCTCTTCTCAGCCCTCATATTTCTAAAGGTATTTGGAGACACACACCTGGACAATGACTAGGCAGGAAGTGGGGGTAGGATAGGAATTGCGCCTTGGGGGGAGTAGCCTGACATGCTATTCCTCTCTGAGAGAGTAGTGCATGCCGGGCACTGTGACTC